CTATAATCTTGTGTTTTTAAAATAAGACCCACGGAAAGGGAAGAGATCTTTGTTTCGTCAGCTCTAATATTAGTTAGGTCTTGACTCATTTGATCTAGCACAACGGAATTCTTGTTCAGGCATTTTAATATATAAAACCCCTTGTTTTAGTATTTTGATAATCTTTACATAGCATTGTAAACACAGCCTAAAATTTATTTTAAAACCTTTCCATGATTGTCTTGGATTTACAACTTACATTTCAGCCAAGGAGAAGTTATTTTTTGATAAGACCATTTGTTTCTTTCTTAGAAATATGGAAACTTTCTTTCCTCATGGTTTAACAATACATTTCTGCCAAGAACCATGGCAGAAATGAGCTTTATCCTAATGTCCTTGGCTCCCCAAAGTAATTCATGATATAAATTGTTATTTAAAATTTTTAAATTACAGTTTCATTTTGAGTTTTTAACCAATGAAATGTGAACACCTAAGATGATTCTATGAAATAATTCATTACTTTCATTAGCTTTATGAAGAAAACATGTACTGCTAATTTCTTTATGTCTACCGTGTTGAAATGTAGAAAGCTTTGCAGGTGTTAGCATCAAATCAGCTGTACTTTACATGCTTCAAAGTGAAACAATCACATAAGGGTATAAATTCTATCAAAATTTCATAAACACAAGAACGGGAAAACTGAAATATAAAGGAACGTAAGGAGTCACAGTGCTTCCGAGATGATGAGCAAGACGATGCAGGGCTGACCCTGCTCCCCCAGGGGTAATGGGACTTGTGCTCCTTTCCCACAATTTATTAAAGGCCAGAGAAACACAGAGCAATGACTCATGAGAAATGTGACAATGTACAGTTTATCTAAACATGCATTGAAAAAGCGCAGGGGAGAACAGGCTGGAAGAAGAAAGAAAGAAAAATATATGAATAAAAGAGCCTGAAATTAAAAGCAAGTCATATTTGACTTAGGCAATTCCAATGCAACAAGCTGGTATTTAAATTTCATGTGATCAAAGGCAAAAAAAAAAAAAAAAGATGTCTGACAAAATGAAAACACAGTGGAAACTAACTTTTATACAGACTCTGAGAAAACCTCTTTTAGAAAACAAAATTTGTCAGCCACTCTCTGTACTAGTTTCTAGGTAACCTCAATACATAGGCTCCTGATCCCCAGGAAATCTACATGGGCTATAACCAACTTCCCAGAAACACCCCCAGACCACTGCTTTGTGGCTTGACTATGTGTAAATTTGCTTGGCCAGTGGATAAAGACTATGCAACTGTATACAGCTTTGCAAATAGACTAGTCAAAGAGCACTCAATTTTTCTATATGAAGTAAACAACTTCTCATCAAGTTAATTAAGAAATGTCTGTTCTTAAGAGGGAAATGGAATGGAGCTCCTCAGATTAAGGACAGAGGGACTAAAGTTTACAACATGAGTTCAGAGGGCAGCAGTGAAGACACTGTGAATTTCACTGCATGTAATACTTTTGTCTCCATATAGATTAAGTGGCTTAGAACATATTTTCTAAAAGCAAAGTAAGATTACAAGTGAAACTTAAGCAAGGAAGTAGTTTAAGGAATGGGATAAAAGATTTGTGCTGTCAGATGGGACTTTGTAGGAGCTGTTCTTGAGATGTTAGGGACAGAGAAAAAAATCAAGGAAAGATAAAAGTATTACAACAGCCAGGCAAGGTTAACCTCAAACTTGGCTCTGATCCATGGCAAATGAAGCGGTTTGTACAAACCCTGAGTCATACCTGATTCAAGAATAAAAGAGTGGATGTCTTGCCAAAAACCAATGCCAAAGAAGTTGTTTCTAAGAAGCATAAGGGGAAAAACTCTGCAATCACCAGTTGTGTGTGTATAAATAGCATCATTCATGTCCCTTGTGGGCTTGTTATGGGCCCTCCAAAAATACACCCATGCAAATTTTATTTCCCAAAGCATTATACTATATAATAAAATGCTATCTTTTGAGGAAAAAGAAAGGGATCCAAGAGTAATCATAAAGGACAGTACCAATTGTAATAAAAATTACTAAAATTCATAAAACTGTATTTTCTTTTACAAGCAAAGAATGCTAAATTACATTTTCCACAAATGGTCATCTTGTTACAACTGGTAACCTTAAAATGAGCCCCCAGATTTTATTTTCACAGCTAGCTGTTCAGTACTACCAAGTGGGAGAAGAATGTTTCTACTCGGTATATGTCACGGACACTCAGTCCTTCCAGCTAGTTCTAACTCTTTGAGCAATCTTGCTAAGCAGCTGCTACAAGGGTACACACTGCCCTGGCTACCCTTCAGAGGTCCTCACTTCGAGAGCCTGCTTCTCTTGTGCCAACCGGAGGGTGGACACAGTAGAGGCGTTGGGCAGAGATGCCTGGCTTGAGGCATTCTGGGAATTTCCTGCCTACAGAGCTGCCAGTGCTACTTCACATCCTTCCGCAGACAGAAACCAAACCAGCACGAGGATGATGCTCTTTGCTCTAACCCAGCTAAAAAAGCAGAAAAGGAATGAGGAGAACCCAGGTCACTAAAAGGAGCTTCTGGGGCAGACATTTCAAAGCTCACACCACATGGCAGTTAATCTTAGACAACTTGATAGCCTCCCATTTTCTTACATCTAAAGTAAATGGCACACATCAGTCCTGGCCGCATCATGGTGAGTAAGGGACAAGGAACATGTCTGAGCCTGCTTGGTGTCCTAGCAGAGGGGCATGCCACGGCAGGCAGCAAACGCCACTCAAGAGCTCCATAAGGCCTGGCCTCCCACTCCCAGCCCTGCGTCTCTCTCCCACCTCACTCTGGACACTCCTGACCCAGCGGCCTTGTGCCCACACAACAAGTCCCTCCCCGGCTTCACTTTCTTCATACAAACCTTTTCCTCTCCCTGGAATACCCTTCCTCACCCATACGTTGCCTGGCTACCACCTGTCCCATCTCAGTTTCAATGTCAACTTTCCAGGGATTTCTTTTTCTGAATAGATCCCATTCCTCTCCCTTAGTGTCCAGATCTGATCAGAAGTCTTAGTCCCTCACATACTTGTCACGAACGTAATTAACACTCATGTTAATTATTTTTTAAAAAAAGGTGGTCAACTATAAGCTCCATGAAGGCAGGACAGAGACAGTTTGCACTTTTTTTTTTTTTTTTGGTTCTATTTCTAGTTACTAGGTGAGCATTGTAATTGAGATAATAAAAAAGAAATATTCATTAAAATGATAAACACTAATTATTTAATTGAAAAATTGTTATTCTTCAACTGTTTGATATATTTCAAGATAGTTTTCATGGTCCACATTTTACAGATGAGGAAAGTACATTTCAGAGAAGAGGATTTCATTTAAGTTCACCTGGCAAGTTGGAAATGGCATAATCCAGACTTAAAGAAATTCTTGACCTTGAAGCTGAAGCTCTAAGATCAAATTTGCTCATCAAATTAGTGTACAGCCCACAAAGAGCAAATCCAGCAGCACTCTTTGCTCAACGGAGCTTCATGATGCAAATTAAGATGAAAACTGTTAACCCACATACCTACGATCAATTAATCTTTGACAAAGGAGGTAAGAATATACACTAGGAAAACGTGTGTGCAGCAAGTGGTGTTGGGAAAGATGGACAGCCCCATGTAAATCAATTAAATTAGAACATGCCCTTATGCCATACACAAAAATCAACACAAGATAGTTTAAAGACCTAAATAGAAGACACAACACCATAAAACTCCTAGAAGAGAAAATAGGCAAAACAGTCTCTGACATAAATCATACCAGTTTTCTCAGGGCAGTCTCTCAAGGCAGTAGACATAAAAACAAAAACAAATGGGACCTAATCAAACTTACAAGCTTTTGCAGAACAAAGGAAACCATAAACAAAATGAAAAGATAACCTACAGCATGGAAGAAAATGTTTGCAAACAATGCTTCCAACAAGGGATTAATTTCCCAAAGTATACAAACAGCTTGTACAACTCAACAACAAGAAAAAACAACCCAATTCAAAAATGGGCACAAGAGCTAAATAGACACTTCTCCAAAGACATACAGAAGGCCATTGGGCACATGAAAAGATGCTCAACATCACTAATTATTAGAGAAATGCAAATCAAAACCACAATGAGGTAATCGCCTCACACCATTCAGAATGGCCATCATTAAAAAGTCTACAAATAACAAATGCTGGAGAGTGTGTGAAGTAAAGAGAACCCTCCTACACTATTGGTGGGAGTGTAAATTGGTGCAGCCACTGTGGAAAACAGCATGGAGGTTCCTCAGAAAACTAAAACTAGAATTACCATATGATCCAGCAATCCCACTCTTGGGCATATATCCAGGTGAACCTATAATTCAGAAAGAAACATGCACCCCTTTGCTCATATCAGCACTATCTACAATAGGTAAGACATGTAAACAACATATACGTCCACTGGCAGATGAATGGGTCAAGAAGATGTGGTATATACACGATGAAATACTACTCAGCCCTGAAAAGGAATGAAATAATGCTATTTGCAGCAACATGGATGAAACTAGAGATTATCACACTAAGTCAGAAAGAGAAAGACAAATACCATCAGGTATCACTTACATGTGGAATCTAAAATAAGACACAAACGAACCTATCTATGAAACAGAACCACGGACATAGAGAAGAGGCTTATGGTGACCAAGGGGGGGCGGGTTTCGGAGATGGGTAGAGAGGGAGGCTGGGGTTAGAAGATGTAAGCTTATACAGAGTGAATGAACCACGAGGTCCTACTGCACAGCACAGAGAACTATATTCAGTATCCGATGATAAACCATAATGGAAAAGAATGTTAAAAAAGAATACACATACACATGTATAACTGGATCATTTTGCTGCACAGCAGTAATTAACAACACTGTATAGCAACTATATTTCATTTAAATTAAAAAAGGATGAAAACTGTTGATGTTCTCTTCCAACAGAAAATTGATTTATGTATGCTGCCTTTCTGCTGCTGGGAAATCAAATATTTTACCATGACTTATACACATAGATGGAATGGACTAAGTAGCATTGAGTATTTATAAAAGAGATGGACAGTGAAAAGACACTTACCATAATTCCAGTGAGCAAACAGACTCCTTTCCCACAGTATGTGTTAGGTACCATGTCACCATAACCAATGGAGAGAAAAGTTATTGATATCAACCACATTGCTCCAAGGAAGTTGCTAGTAACATCCTGTTGATCATGGTACCTGAAAAATAGCAAACAAAGCCAGTCCTTTATAATTAATCTAGAGGAGGGCCACCATGGGCAGCTTGACTCAATCCCATGAATTTACTAAGTAGCTTCTACAAAATGCTCTATTTAGAGGTTTTCACAGCTCACTATTATAAGTAAAATTGGGGTTCTACCTAAGTAATGTGAAAGACATCAGGATTTCTTCAACTTTAAAAATAATTTGAAAGGGAAGCTGCAAAATATGAAAATAGCTTTTATCACTGGTGTTATCTGACTAATGCACATTTATGTCTGAGTCTGCTCTTGTTTTGCTCACAAAAATCTCCTCCTTCCTTGATGTCCACTGATGTGCCCAACGTGTAGGATGATATGTGGTTGCCCAATCTCCTTCTGCGCCTCTGTATCAGGAGGAGCCATGGGGTCCCCTTCGCTATCTGTTTCCCTAGTGGGCCAATTTTGACCCTTCAAAATCAATTCAGTCAGGAGCCTCTTCTGTCTGTTCTTCTCCCAGCCCCTCCCGGGGGCTCCCTCAATATCCTGTGTTTTCCTTCACCGCAGGACTAGACTGTAACTGTCCTGTACTATTTGTCCTCCTTGAAGATGGGAAAAACATCTTTGATTGCACAGTCCACACCCAGAACTAGAGCTTAATGTAAGTCATTGCCTCCCGAGTTACGCACATAAGAGTTTGTAGTCAAAAGAAGGAGAGGTATGCAGCTTATCCTGGTTATCCTACAAGGTGTCAAGTCTTTCTAATGAGGAGGAAGGCTTTTATCTCAGAAAGAGATACCCTCCAATGTCTGGCTTGAATTAGCAGTGTTAAGCAGTAACTCGGCCGCTCGTGGGCACTGCTATCCATCATGCATACAAGCATCAGGCCATGCCAGTGGTCACCAGGAGGAACTTGCCCTGGATGTGTGCCCCGCACAGTCGTGGGCAGGGTGGCCCTCGCCCAGGGGAGCAGTCACGGGCATTCCTTACTCCTCACTCTACTTGTGTTAAGACCACCCTTTCTTTCCAGCTCTCAGAAACCACTGGGAACAGCTTTCCCTTCCTTGTTGCTTGGTCTCCGAAGCATGCTGATAACCCCCGAGCTGGCATTCACTCAGTTCTGCCTTTCAGCTCAACCATCTGTCTGTGTAGTCAGAGCTGTGGAGGCAAGAAGGCTGCCCTGTGACCTGAGCCCCAGGATTGATCCCATACACAACCTACATTGCGCCATTACGTCCTCTGAGGTTTCTTCTTTTCTGTTCTTTTTCTCACACCAAGGCTTCTGCCATAACCCAAAGTGCAGGAAGGTTAAAGAGGATAAGCTTTCCCCTGTAGCGCTATCCCTCTGACAGTGGAGACAGGGGCTCTTATCTCTGTCTTAGGGCCTATGCTTATCACTTTTACACTCTTTTGTTTGCTTCCAAACAAGAGAGAAGCTAAGAAATGGTATTTCCTGCTACACTGGTCTGGGAAAGAGAAATCCCTGGCTGGAGTGAGTAGAAACCCAGAGCAAGGAGGCGTGATGGCATCGCCGTATCTTCTGAAAGAAAGGGCAGGGCAGGTGTGCCCCAGCCAGCCCTTGCTGAGCAGCATCCGGCGAGTGTCTGGTGGCAGGAGGACAGCAGCCTCACCATTCTGCTCCAGGAAACGGCATCGTGACTCAGAGGCAGAGTCCCGTCTTCCCAGGATGGCTGAGTGGAGAGGCTGTCTCTGCCAAAAGGGAGGTCAAGATAATGTCTTCCTCATATTAGGTAGATAGATAGACAGACAGATAGACACATGTGCTCAGTCATGCCTGACACTTCGCGACCTTATGGACTGTAGTCCACTAGGCTCCCCTGTCCATGGGGTTTCTCAGGCAAGAATACTGGAGTGGGCTGCCATTTCCTTTTCCAGCGGATCTTCCCCACCCAGGGATTGGACCCATGTCTCCTGCATCTCCTGCACTGCAGACAGATTCTTTACCTTTTGAGCCACCAGGAAGCCTTACTCCTCATATTACTCAATCACTAAAAAACAAATGAAATAATGCCATTTGCAGTGACATGGGTGGGCCTAGAGATTGTCATACTAAGTAAAGTAAGTTGGACAGAGAAACACAAGTATCATATGATATTGCTTATAGGTGGAATCTAAAAAATAAAAAAAAAAAGAAACAAATGCACTTATTTACAACAGAAACAGACACAAAAAACAAACTCATGGTTATGAAAGGGGGGAGGGGTAATTTAGGAGTTTGGGATTAACAGACACATACTACCATAAGTAAAATTGATAAATAACAAGGCCTACCATAAATAACACTGATAAAGGACATACATAGTAGGGAACTATGATAATCTATAACAGGAAAGAATCTGAAAAAAAAAAAAAAACATATGTATGTATGACTGAATCACTTTGGTATACACTTGAAACTAATACAATGCTGTAAGTCAACTATACTTCAATTTTTGTTTTTAAAGATGTATTCCTAACTTTCAAGGCAGATAGATGAGTGTACTTCCTCTGAGAAACTCTGATAAATAACATGCTCATAAAAGCAGGGTGGTGTGATACATTTGAGAGTTCAGCTATGCGTGAGCTACCAGGCTCTGTGGGCCGCTTGGGGAGCCCGCCATGCCTGTGTGATGGGGGTGCCATGGGAGAATGTGGTTTCTATTTCAAAAAAGAAGCAAGCTTTGGATTATAATCCACTCACAATATCGAGGCTCTCTATGAACAGTCCTCATCAAGCAACTGCCTGAAACAGAGAATGCATTACCTCGGCAAGAGTGTGGGCAAGAGAGGGGAGGCAAAAGCTTCACGTCCTATTCAATTTTCAACTGTGATACAAAGTTTCTTCCTAACAAAGCACGATTTACATAAAGATCCAATACATTTAAGAGCTGATGGCCCTGATTCCCTGAGGCAGATGAAATATTTGTTGAGTCCTCACTATGTGTTCAGCTCCTAACTTGCATTTTCTCATTTTACAATCTTTGGCTGAAACAGCTATGGTCTTTACGCATTATCAACAAAGTGTCCTCAGTCGCTAGCCACTAAGAAAACGGGGCCAGGTCTGAGTGATATCCTCAAGTTACTGCTACCTCATGAGTGACTAGAACATACCTGCCTACTTGCCCAGCACAAGCTGCTCCTCTGGTAAGCAACTACAAAGAGGAAGTTTGAGATTTCATACTATAAACAAAGGTCGTTAGGGGGCCTTCAGGGCGCTGGGGCGCACAGGTCAGTCTCCTCAGCTTGGGCAAAGGTGTGAACACCCCTGTCAGCTCTTCTTCCTGAAGCCCTTTGATCTGGTTTTCAAAGTTTGGAGCACTCAATGACTTTGAAAGTTACAGTGAAAAGCATTCCCTGACTCTCAGTTAGTTGCCTATATTTAATAAATACACAAGCTTAAAATTTCTCCCATCCTCATTCAATTCTCCACCATTCTCAAGTATTATGCCATTATATCATGTAGTCAGTATTAGTTATATGCTATGCAATTCTATTGGGTAAGACACTGTATTGCTATACTGAAGGGTCTAATTAGAAACAGACAACTTTCTAGGAGTTGGCATTTAAAGGGCTTGGGGTTCAATGATAAATTACCTTTTTCTTTCTTATTAAATAATTAACCTGCCTGAAAGATAACTTAGAATGGAAAAATAATATTTCAAACTAATGTTTATGTTACATTTCAGACATACTTAGTTATGACTAGTCAAGAAGAGGCAGGTAATTAGGGACCACATTAGCTACTAGTAGAACACTTAAGGTTTCTTTCTTGGAAACTCATAAACAAATATTAAGACTTATCAACAGGATGATAGCAGGAGCTCCGGCCATAATAATGGTGGGCAGTTATGCCATCCCCTCCCCCAAGCTCTTTCTCTCCAGGTACATTTCCTTCTGCCTAACAAAACCCTCCCCCACCTTCTTAGCCCTGATTTGTACTTTGAGAATCTGGTCATAATTCCTCTTTTCCAGGTTCCACATAGTAATTTTAGCATGGTACTCTAGGTTGGACCATAGAGCACCACGTCCGTTCTCTGCGTACCAGGAGCCTCTTATAGGTACCTCTCATGCCATCAGTCAAGGTCAACATGGGTCAGAAGGCATATAAAATATGCTCAGCTTAATAAACAGGCCCCAAGAATCTAAATTATAAAGAATTTGAGGACCAAGATTATGTTTTACTCATTGTTTTATCTTCACTTAAAAGAATATAGCAGGAAATTGGTATTTACTGAATTAACAAATATGACAATATGAAACACTTTTTCTCAAACTGACTTGTCCTTAGCTACATGTTAGGCCTTCAGGATCACATATATAGAGATACAAAAAGGGGATAGAAATGAGTCTTTCCCTTCAATCAGTATGAATTGGATTTATCAGTTATGTTCCAAGATCTGTATGCAACTTATAAGTAATTTTTACACATGTAAAAAATAATTCAACAATGGAGATTTACAGCTTATAAACTATATTCATTAACCCTTTTCTATTAAACATACTATTAATACTATGGAATGCAAAAATATCTTAATTGTCAGCTCTGACCTCAAATGTAAGCCTCACTTAAATGGTGTAAAGTATTACGGAGATTTACAATCATGTGATCAACCTACCATCAATTCTTTCTCCTGAATCCACCATTCTCTCCTGAAATAACACTAAAATGATGGTAGGGCAATTGAAAAAAGTATAAACCCATAAGAACAAAAGGAAGAGAGAAATCAGAGAATAGAAAAAATATCATATTTTTACACAAACAAAAGTACATGGGGAATTCTGCTTCTAGCTAAGATGGAACAACAAAGGACTGAATTTACACTGCTTCCTAAAACTACAAAAACAGAAAAAATATTTGAAACAATAGTTACCAAGACATAGATAGTCTAGTAACAAAAAACAGTGATCCCTGTGAAACGGTAAACAGCTGAAGTGAGCCCTGAAAGTGCCCCAGCTTCGTGCCTCAGGGAAGGCTTCAGTATCACTCAGGGATGGAGATCAGCAGAGCCCAGAGCTCTTCCC